ACAAGGGTTTAGAAATTTATTTTTGGTAGTGAAAAAAAAGCATAGGGAACCGACTCTGCTCCCTCGAATGATACAGCTGCGACACGTACGGCTTGTCTGCGTGGGATTGTTTTCTGTGCCGTAACTGAAGAAAGCAAAGGGTACCGCAGATACTGCCTTTAAATGTTCGTGTCTCTGATGTTAACATTTGTTTAAAAAAGGTTAATTGCAGGCAATTGTGTGCTAAAGGAGCTACATCACAAGAAAAGTCAATAGTACTAGGAAACTAACTTTGAATTAATGATAGAACTGAGCAGTTATGCCAGAGAATTTATTTAAGGAGGCAGCACAGTTTTTTATTATAAACTGCTAAAGTGCAACATGTCAGTGGTTTTTTTTTTCTTTTTCTTTTTCATAACTGTATAAAAAGGCATATTTACCACTTCACACTGAATTCATAAAGTGAGTGAATAAAGAACCAAGTATTCCGATGTTTTAAATTTAACATGCTGTTCATTAGTGTTGAATACTTAAAAAAACCCTGCTTCTTGAATTAAGCTGTGTCCATTAGATGGGTTTCTTGAAGGCAAGAGGCACAGTTGTGCTTACTTAGCATGAGAACCTCAGAGTTTAAATAGCTTCTATTTATTTTGTAATCTGTGTCTATGGTAAGAGTCAATTACTGTTTTATGGTACTGGTGACTAAAATTTCATTAGTGTATCTTGAAACTATGGCAAACTTGCTAGAATCTTTTTTTTTTTTCCCCTGCTCTCCAGCCTAGCATCCTGGGAGTTCATAAAACTCTTGAGTCAACATTCAGCCTTTATCCAATTTGGATAAATCCCCTAGCTGGGATCCATCTCAAAACATCTGAGAAATAGTGCTGTTTTTTCTTGTTAAGCTAGCTAAACCTTTAAAGGTTTCATATCGATACTCTGTGGGGGTTTTTTTTAAAAGTTATATACACGAAACATAAGCAGTCTGCTATGGAAGTGCCTTTGGGTCCTTATCTGAAAGCAATTCTGGCCCCTCCTGACTCCATACTCATTTTGGATGGATGCTGTATGACTCTAGAATACCCTCATGAGAACAAAAACCAAAACAACGACAACAAAAAGCAACAACCTAAAGCCAAACAAACAAACAAAAAACCCTTAACCCCCCAGAAAGGAAAGAGAATGAGGAAAGAAAAATTCTGGCTGGCCCAAGGCCCCTGAGGACTTTTTGTTGCTCCGTGCCTGGTGTTATGCCGCTTGACAGCTCTAGAAAAGGCTTGGTAGACTGATCTCAAATGAATTTTATATTTTTGGTCCCATTAGGATTATGGAGTTGGCTCTCTCCTGATAAATATCAGTGTAAAGCAGCAGAGAATCAAGCCAGCTGAGCTGGTCATGACCTTGTATGCATAGTGATAATTAATAGCTAATGAGACTGGTAAGACATGGTTCTGAAATGCAGTAGACTGCATCATCTGGACTGTTTAGAAATTAAAATTTTTAATTGCACTTTGAAAAGGAATTAAAGACATATTTTGCCATCATGGGCAAAAAGATAACCTCCTTCACTAAAGGATATGTGCCATATATGTCACTAAAATATGTAATCTTCAATGCAGTTATGCTACAGAATAAGAATTATTCATGAATTTGAGGTCAGAGGGTAGAAAGGCATGGGTTAGAATAATGTAATGCCTGTTCTTAATCCATACTTTAAATAACGGCAGCTGTTTCAAATTTTCTGGAAGGGCCTTTCTTGTTACTTTTTCTGACATAATTTCTTCCACTCATGTCCTGGTTTCAGCTGGGATGTAGTTAACTGTCTTCCTAGTAGCTGGTACAGTGCTATGTTTTGAGTTCAGTATGTGAAGAATGTTGATAACACACTGATGTTTTCAGTTGTTGCTAAGTAGTGTTTAGACTAAAGTCAAGGACTTTTCAGCTTCTCATGCCCAGCCAGCGAGAAAGCTGGAGGGGCACAAGAAGTTGGCACAGGACACAGCCAGGGCAGCTGACCCAAAGTGGCAAACAGGGTATTCCATAACACGTGATGTCCCATCTAGTATAGAAACTGGGAAGTGGGGGCGGGGAATCGCCACTTGGGGACTGGCTGGGTGTCGGTCAGTGGGTGGTGAGCAATTGCACTGCGCATCATTTGTACATTCCAATGCTTTTATTATTGCTCTTGTCATTTTATTAGTGTTATCGTTATTGTTTCTTCTTTTCTGTTCTATTAAACCGTTCTTATCTCAACCCATGAGTTTTGCTTCTTTTCCCAATTTTCTCCCCCATCCCACTGGGTGGGGGGGGAGTGAGTGAGCAGCTGCGTGGTGCTTAGTTGCTGGCTGGGGTTAAACCACAACTCACATAGTAGTAAGCTTGATACGTGATTCTCCAGAGCGTGTTCTCCTGGACTAGTCTGTACTCTGGAGTAAATACAGAACTACACCAGAGCAAACAAGCAAAAACCAATTATTACAAAATAATCTTAAGTTACTTTAGTATGAGTTTTTTTTCCATATTTATCTCCCTCAACTATTTCCCTTTATATCAGCTAGTGCTAATCTTCTCTGAGGTTAGTCAGTCTAGGACAACTTTTCACACAATGACTCTGGTCATTTCTGGTGCTTCTAAAAGAGAAGGAGAAGAGAAGATGAAAGAATTCTTCTCTTCATGTACATTAATGTGAGGCTTAGACTTTTTAAAAAGTTGAAATTCCCAGCCACAATTCCTTATTCTCTGTTAGTCACTTCTGGCTTTGTGGTGGCTACAAGTGAACTATTTAGAGAGGGTGTTTTGAAAATGGAGGTAGTGCTTCCTGGCAGAGGAGACACATTCAGGCAGTGTAGCCAGGAGCCCTGGCAGAGCGCTTGGGAGGTGCAGCCGAGATTCTTGTTTCTTTTGCTTATAAACATTCAGACAGAACTTCAGCTAGCTTTTGTTATGGAAGTGGTTTTACTTTGGATGAGAGCAGAAGCTGTACAGGAGCGTTTGATTCTGAGAAGATACTTTTTTGGCCAATTCTGCTCCCAGTTATGCCTCTTGAAGCAGTCAGGAGAAATGGTTGATTATTTAAAAGCATGGCAGTCTGTAGTTGCTGTAGAGAAAAAAAAATGACAAAGACACTTTTGGATTTATGTACCGCATTTCAGTAAGATAAACAACCTTAAGACATAAGCTTTTTGATCAGAGTGGATGTGTGTGTCATACCAAGTTGGCTTTCTGTCACAACTGACCGTTGTTCTTCCTATCCAACCTGCTGGGTTGCCTCCATTCAGGGTCACCACTGGAATGCCTAGGGTGAGTTTACTTTTAATGGCTTTGTTTCAGTCAGGAAGAAATGAAAGGAAAATAACGAATCGAAAGAGAATACCTGTAGTTTTTTAGGCTGCTTGTATTCAGTAAATATTTCATTGGGAAACTTGTGGAAAGGTAAAAAGGCAGCAATTTAAAATTTAAATTTTGCCAACGTGGTATTTTTTGTAAGTTGAAAAGGTCAGTCTCACAATGAAGGAGGGAATCTCATTTTCTGTTTCGCTTTTGCTGGGTTTGAACTACACTGACTTGGGCATATGAAACAGAGCACTGAAGCATTTAAATTTCTTCTAGTTCAGTTCTGTGCCCTCGATAAAACCCAATGCAGAAAGGATTGCCCTTCCGCCCACTGCAAGTATGGAAGCATCACTTTTGGAGAGGTTATTTTTAGAATATATCCTTTTGTAACAGCCTCAGTAACAGCAGAGAGCAGTGAATTTGAAATGCCATAGTTGCACGTGAACTAAGTCACAACAATTGTACTTACCAGCTTCTGGTGAAGCAGCTTTCAGTTTTCAAAGAAAACGGTGGCCAGTGACCATGTGTCTCTTTTGAAACCTTTGAACAGAGCCAGAACATGAGATTTTTATGTTTTACTGATGTGGGGAGTTTGTAGACCCTGCAGCATTCTTCTAAAGTCATGTGGAAGAAAAATACATCCCAATATGCTTTGCCCAATTCCTCGTAACTCAGCTTGAGCTGTAAACTAATTTGCTGATGAGCTCTCATACCCCTCGTAAAGTATAGTAACCTTGGAGAAGAGGAGCTATGTATTTAATTTGTTATAAAACACTGAAATCACAGCTTTAATTTCAAAACTCAGTTCAGCCTTATCTGTTGAAGTGATGGCAACCTTCACCTGTCTTCTTAGCTGCTGCTTAAAATTCCAGGAATTGTGCAAGATGGAAAGCTGTGTTTCTGGGGTGGGGTGTCCAAAAATGTTCTTAAACTGTTCTTGAAGTTTCATTATGAATTTGATAAGAATTTATACAGTAAATATTTTGAAGCATTCTGCAATTAAAAAACAACAGGCAAGTTGAGTTAAATATCACAACATGATTTCTATGTGCTTTGCAGCAGTATTGCTGTACAAATGATGCTTAGGATTTGAAATCAAATTCATACACATTTTGTACATCCAAGATATGACTTAATAATCACTGAGCATTTGGCTTCCATATTTTGGGGGGAATATTTTAATAAACAAGGAGAAGAGCAGAAAAGAGATGACATCAGTAACAACTCAAACACAAATCTTTGGAACATTTGTGGCATACCAGCTGTCCAAGAAGCATCATCATCGTCGTCTGCTTCTGACAAATGATATCCACCAAAGCTTGATGTGTAGCACTCAGATAGGCTTTTTCAAATACTCTGCTGACTGAATGATACATTTGAAAGATATTTGAGAATTGTCTGTCTAGAACCATGCAGATACAAGTCTTGCCTTACTGACCCAGGGAGATGTATAAGCATCTAAGCAATGAGTAGCTCCCTTAGCAAAGAAGGGACACTAGATTTAGCAGTTTCGCAGTTCATCTGTTACCTTGTTTTGTATCACCTCGTATCAACTCTTAACATGCTTTTAACTAACTCTTATTCCCTTGAGAGATTAATGCTTGTACCCCTTAGCGCTCTTGAGAAAATAAATATTAAATGTAGTAAGATGGATTAATTTTTCATTTCACTGCTCATTGCTTTCCTTTCAGCTTCTTGCCTGATTACATCAGTGGTGATTTTGATTCCATTCAGCCTGAAGTCAAGGAGTACTACAAGGTCAAGGTAAATTAAATCTCTTTGATGAGTTTGTGTGTGTTAGAGCATTGTAGGATCCAACCCATTAGTGAGCCCCTTGGTCATTAAGTGATTCTGGCTCCATTGGTTTCTTTGAGGCTTCAGCTGTGAAGCACCTTACAAGCTCAGATGTTGAGCTCTGCGTGGCACTGTACTAACGCTTAAAGTAAACACAGGAGGTGCGGTACTGCCCAAGTCCTGCGTAGGGTGCAGTTTCATAGCACCAGCTCAAGAAATACATTGTACGTTGCTGGAGATTATAGCAACTGGAAACTAGGATAAAACTTCCTGAAAAATCTGTGACTTCTTTTGCTTAGTGAGATACAGAGCAATAAGATTAACCTCCCGTGATTCCCACATGGCTGGCACCCACAGACTTTCTAGAGAGAGTTTCTCTGTGTGATTTTTGTGTGATATGACTTTACCTTTGTAGCAGGAAGCTGCAGATGGAGACATCTGTCTCTTTCATCATCCACTGAAGCATTGAATTACGCCCTGACTACTTCTACTTCACTAGTGGAGTGCCCTCCTTAATGGGTTTTTGGACAAATTCCTGCATACATTAATTTATTCCCAGTGTAGCCACCATGTTTCCAGTGATCAATATAATTGTAAACTTGCATTTCTTGGGTCTCAGGCCTCAAAGTTCTGCCTTTAGCTGACTATTTGGTATTTAACACTTCACCTGCTTGCCTGTATAGGCTTTTGGACTGAGCACAGTGCTTTACCCTCACATCTTGGACAGCAGGTTTCTGCAAATTCAGAGTTTGCCTCAGTGTGCCAGCTTACCTTTGCAGCAATCTGCACTTGCAAGAGCAATAAGTGTTTGATCCTTGTGAGCTAGTGGACTTGGAGGTCTGTCATATGTCTGCTGCTAATTCAACGTGTGAGGCTGAAATTTGACTAAAATCTTCCCTGATGGACTTGGGATCAAATGATTAGAACAAAAGGTTTCAAACTGTGACAGGAGGGCTGGAGGAGTGTGTAGGACTAGGTTTTAGTCCCTCTCTGAGCACTGTGTGATTATTTTTTTTTTTGCCATGTTCTGCCTCATTGGTTAGAAGGAAGAAGTGTGTGATGGCTGTCTGTCTTGGGAGAACAGCTCAAGAAAATTGCTTGGGAATCTTTAGGTTACAGCTTGGGAAGTGAAAATAAAATAAAATAAAAAACTTTGGATTAATGCTGTTCATTATAGACTGGAAATTCGTGATCTGTGAGTAAATGGGGAAATTGCAAAATGAAGTGCTCTATTTGGTGTGGACATTGGTATTAATGCTTATACAAACTGCATGTTGGTTGGTAGGTAAGTCCTAACAAAGAATGCGGGTTAAGGATTGTTCAGCAGAGAGAGGGGAGATGAAAGAGGTAGGAGGGGGAAGAATACAGTAGGATATGGAAAGGGATAAGCTAAGCTAAGCTGGTATTTCACTTTTTCACAGGGATTACTTTTCTGGCCATAGCATCCCTTTTGTCAGCTCCATTGTAACTGGCTGTTGATGTGCAATGTACATCTTCTCTATGAACATGTAGTGAACTATTCTGCTTCATATGGAGTTGATACAGCCATGCAAGTGCTGGACTGATAGGCTGTAAAGGAAGCAGTATTTCATCATGATTGTAAAGTTGTAATGAAGAGCAGAATCCTTGCCTGGTATCCTCATACATGACTGAGGAAAACACAGTTTGACTTTAGAATTTTAAGTTTGGGTGTATACGGTAGGAAAAATAATTTTTTTGCGTTTTTAAATTAAACTTCTGTAGTCAGAAAATCAGAATGGTAAATACAGGTTGGTATCTAAGGAGGTTCTGAGCAAAAAAATATAATAAAACACAGAATTTGGAGAGAGGTATATGCTTCTTTTCTTGTAAAGTATCTTGTCCAGTAAAGCACCCTCTGTAGTCCAGGCAGTTTCCAAAGTTGCTTGGAAATATATGTGTTGGTGACCCAAAATACATTAGGCTACTTAAAACAGTCTGTGAGAGAACTTCAGGTGAGTAGACTGGTGTAGTGCCATTGACTTCAGGGAAGTACAGCGTCACGTTGTGAGTTAGAGTTGCTTCCCATGCTGTCCTTCCTCCCTCACTGAAGCACTCCCTCACCTGGATGCAGATTTCACCCAGAGACGGGGTAAGACTTTGTCATTAGATAGTATTACTGTGTTGTTTCAAGCATTCTCTTTTATCAATTGTTGAGGATTATGAATGGGAAAACAGAAGAATTGTTGTAGCGAAGCTTAGACTGATGTGATGTGGTAGTTTTCTGTGAGCAAGTGGATGAGAATCCACAGAAATCCCACCTGCTAATTGACTGATCAGTATTTCCCTGTACAAAGAAAAAGCCCTTTCCCGTGCTAGCTTTTGGTATTCATGGTCAACTACTTTGACATTGGCATGCTCCTACAGCCTTCCCCTTCCCCAGTCTTGCTTCCAAATACTCACCCTTGCTGGAATTGGAAGCCTGAACCATTCTTATCACACAGAATTACCTGAAAGCACATACATTTGTCGTGCAATACTGCTCCAGTTTCATTTGCCCAGGTCAGTACCAACAATTTCATTAATTAGCTGGACTTCTCTGAAGTTGAGCATGGTACTTTCAGACAACTAAATATTTATTTTTCCTTTGAAATGTGTCTCTGGGTAAACTTTTTCAGCGTGTTAGGTCTTCATTACAAAATAACAAGAATATTCTATTGGCATTCCTAATGTTTCTGCTCCTATTTACTGCCAAGCCACCTTTCCTGTTCCACCAGGCAGCGGACTGTCCTGCCTGAATTTTCCCCATCACATGCACCTGTCTTGAGCTGCTGCCGTGCCAGGGTTGGTAATGACTTACACTGTAGCTATAGCTTTAGCTTCTTCCAAATTCACACTTTCTATGTAGAGTATTTTATATTGTAGTGTAGATTTTCATCTCTTGGTGGCCCTTGCTTTTTTCCTAGCATATATACCTAATGCAACTTATTCCCACATATTACACAAAGGAAAGGTGACACTGTTTGAAGGCACTTACTTGGGATGAGTCAGGAGCTCTGCTGCCTGGCTGTAACATTACTTTGACCTGCAAGGAAATGGGGGTATGGGGGCATGTATTCCTTTGTACATGTATCGCCAAGTAATTCATTACGGCCAGCAGAAAGGAGGAGCTATCACATGCATGGAGTGAATATGAAGGAAAGTGAAGCAAGCAGCAAGTACTGAGAGGTATTCACCCTCTGCACTCCTATCTGCCTTTGCATATGATGTACAGGGAAAAGTCATACCAACTTTTCTATCATCACTTAAGTTTGACTTCTTTGCTGTAGATGCAGCTGCCAGGTGAAAGGCAAGCGGTGCTCAAGGAGCTGGAGGTTCCTTTGGTATTTCAATTTCAATGATTTAATTTATACCAGGAATTAGAGTGATTTTTTTTTTTTCTTTGTGAAGCTGAAGGTAGGTAAGTTTCTCTGTGTTTTTTATAAACATGCTTTATAGTTCTGTTAAGTACTACATTTGCAACAGAGTACCAGTGACCTCTTTTTTTCTTTTTTTCTTTTTTCTTTTTTTTTAATAAAAGCTACCTATATTGACAGAAATTAATACATCATGACTTCTATCATTTATGTGAAGATAGCATGCCACTGGTTAAGAGGAGTTACTTTTTCTATAGTAAAGCTTATGGACATTAATTATTGAGTTATAAAACATACCCATGTACAAGTGTTTGTGTCAAAGACAGCCTAGCGTAGTGCTGAGTAAGAATGGGGAGTATTGAACTCCGTGTGTGAAACTAATTATGGCTCTGTGAAGTGTTGTCTATAAGCAATTGTACCATCATCACAAAACAATGTCAGACCTGACTCCTCCATCACAGCAGCTTCATGCCAGGATGTAGCTAGTAGACTCAGAAGGTTTTCTACCTCATTTAAATGATGATAGCAAGAGCAGATATATGCCACTACAGGAAATGTGACATACAGATTCCTGAAGCTGAAGGGTTTTACTGGAAGGGGTATTTTTGAGCCAATTCCTCTGGTGTTTTCAGTTGAGCAAGGATTACATGGCAAGTGTTTCCATTTTCCCTTAAGGAGGATTAACGTCATTGTGTCGGGGAACCTTATTTAAAGTTCATAAACGTGAAGCAAATAAATCCATTTTATTGCTGTTACATGCGGCATGCCATAGTGAAGAAATCTAAAGGCAAAAATGCTGGGGTTTTGTAGTTGTGTTGGAAAGTAATCATGTAATAGACTTATGAGTGGGATGTGTAAGTGATGGGTTAGGCGTGCTATGCTTTTGGGAGAGAGTAAGTAAGCATGCATCATAGGTTATTCAGCTTTACTTTTTATTTTGTGCACTCTTGGTTTTGCCCCATCGGCTTGTCAAGTAGGTATTTGTAGTCTTTTATTCTTTATTTTACAAAATTACTGATGATTTCCCTATTTCTTAAAGAGTTAAATAACGTTAAAACAGGATAAAACTGCACCACAACTGGATATGGAATAGCATGTTTAAATTTCCCTTTTAAAATCACATAGCACTATAAATGAAGGATAAAGAATAACAATTCAATATCCTTTATTCTGTATATCTTCTGTCATTGTTAAAAGAGATATTGAGAAGAGGTTTTGTACTTTCATGATAAATATGCATGTTCAGATGACCCCATAATAGATGCACTGTCAGTCTTTCTCTGTATAGTCTGAAGTGGATTGGAAATGACACTGCACAAAGCAGGGGGACCTGTGCTATTTCTGTTATTGCACTTTCATCTGTTTCTCGCTTTAGCTGAATGTTTCTATTATTGAAACCTTTTAAACATTACTTTGAAGTTAAAGGAGCCATGTGCATTGTTATGCCTCAAACAAGGCTCAGTTTCTGAAGTTTGGAGACCAAAGATATTACCTAAAATTATACCAAATCTGTACTTACACCTAGAAGCAGAAGGTTGAATCCAGTACCCTTTGAAATCCAGATTATGCTATTTATTAAAAATCCAGTTTGGCTTT